TAACACCATAGTGACACCATGAACGTCGCTACCCAAGTGTTAACATGTTTTAAAGCACCATGTATTACTCCACAACGACGCTGATGATTGCACTGTGTGTGTGTGTGCTGCATGTACGTATGTTAAACGTCTGTCACGCCGTACGTAGCCAACCGTGCTAATGGAAGCTGCTGGGGAAAGAAGGTCAACAAGCCCGGCTTGCTGACCAAATACGCTCGCTTCGTTGTGCGTGATGGGGGGGGGTGGGTGCTGGGGTGGGGCGTGAGGGGGGTGGGGGGTACCGAGCTATTCCTACCACGTCCAAGGGCCACGCCTAAGTGAGCTCGCGGTGTACTTTTGAAATATTCCACTACGCGTGCAATTACCTCTTGCTCTGGTCTGGTGTTGTGACTTGTGGTCATGGCTGTTAGGGTCCCACGTGGTGTCAACAATATATTGTGCACATATATCGCCTATATAAATCGTCATCAGCAATCAATTCAATAATGCGACTTTCTTCTCTAATCGATTATTTAAATTTAGCGGCTCCTAGCGGCTGGCTGTAAGGGAGATGCAACACCACTGCTTCATGCAACGTATGCGGTTTGGAAAGCAGCGATTGCTATTCTCTCTTGCGATTTGAGTCGTGTATAGGGAGCTATGATCACAAATCGATATTTGATTGATCGATGCATTGTTACACCGCTTGTATAAGGAGAGTCGCCGAGTTGAACTCGTGTGCTCACTGCTGTACCACCACCATCATTATTATCATCACCACCCACGAGCTATCCGCTGCTGGATGTAGGCCTCCCGAGCCTCATAGCCTCACAATCTTTCCACGTGTCGTGAGCGACTTCCGAGACAAGACGTGTAGAGGGCTCATTGTTTATTTATCACACTTCACAGGCAGAATCACTGAGCGACATATACACTGGGCTACGTAGAGCTGACCCACTCATACAGCCGCATCGCCGGCGTCTAACTTTCTAGCTGGCTGACTAATACAGCGACGACGACGATGGGGACCGTACAGCGGACCGTCCACACGGCCGGACAATGAAGAAGAGATGACGGCGACGACAGCGATGGCAGCCAGGACCCGAACCCCCACGACAGCCCCGAACCTCCGGTTACCTCCCTCTTATATACTCCTTAGTGTGGCCAAGCCCCGCCTCTGGCCACGCCCCCCCCCCCCCCCTTCTAGAACTCTCATGCAGGTTCCAGGAGCTTCCCGACTGGTCCGGGCCTCTGACCCTTGGCCCAGTTACGCCCCCCTTATGGTTGGCTGTTATATGGCGCACCCATACGTGTAGTTATCCTTCATGGTCAACAGATGGCGCCCTGTCACTACACTTGCAGCAATCCATCTCGCTCCTGCATTGGAGTTGAACTCGTCGCTCAGTCTCCAGCGGAGGACGTCCTCTTCTCAGTAGTGTTTCCGCTCCTTTGTCTGCCACTCCGTCGTTAGTCTCGACCACCGGCCATCATCCCTCACCTCTCTTAACACTTTGAATGGTGCCATTGACCGGTGTTAGTTCTGTAATTCACGTGTTCCTTTTTCTGTGTCTCGGTAATAATTCCAAGCGCGCACCTCTGCACGCTTCTCTGCACATTTTTCAGCTCACGTTCCATTTTCTTTGTCCGTATTTCTCAACCCATTCAGCCCATAATCCCCCCATGTGGTTAATACAATAGGCCCCACTTAGTGGGGAAGTTACCAGTGGTTGTCCTGTGAGTCGACTGGCCCCCACCATAGGAATATGGAATTTCCACCACTGGCTCGCGGCTGTAAACAGGAGCCGAGCACCGCATCAATACCCATTTGAGCAGGGAATCACTTTGACTTGACTGATCACACGTAACGGGAGGTAATACGCACTTGTTAAACAACAGTTATCTTTTGATTTAAAGCTTTCGTGACTGCAGTAATTCATATTCTTAGTTTTTTCGGTAAAGTCACGTTGAAGGGAAACAACAAAATAATAAAATATATATAAAACAATAACAGTTATCTTATTCTTGGTTCTTTCGGTAAAGTCACGTAGAAGGGAAGCAATAAAATAATAAAAATATAAAACAATATATTTTTTATTATTTTATTGTTTTCCTTTCTACAATATATTTTGTATTATTTAATTGTTTCCCTTCTACGTGACTTTACCGAAAGAACCAAGAATATGAATCCCTGCAGTCACGAAAGCTTTAAATCAAAAGTAATCTTGCCACATTGGCATGTTGCTATTCGTTATTAAGTTGTACTCACCACGTGGTGGCATCATATGCTGTTTTGTTCTATGGCAACGTCACGAACTCATCACACGCCGCACCACGCTGCAAACACGACGCAGCCCGTGGACCAACGGCAGTTGAGGGGGGAACACTGTGGCGGTGACGGTGTGGCTCGTGGGCACATATCTCCTTACCATACGAGCGCGTCATGAATTCACGAGACGCAGGGGAGCTTGAGGTGGGGGTGATCGAGGCTAAATTTAGTGAGGCACTGGTCGCGTGCACTTTGAAGCGCAACCGGCCGTGCGGTAGGTTACGTGGCGTCCCTCAACAAATGTGCTTATCGCTGCTGCGTCGGTGACCAGCCACGTGGAAAGAGGAAGAATGGAGCAAAGTTTTTGGTTCTCGTGTCTATGTGTGTGTGGTTTTTCGTCCGTGATTAATTAGAAAAAATATATTTAGAAAAAAACGTTCTTTTACCAGGTAAGCCCCATTGGGCTATACAGCTCTTTTTCATCAGCGACCTGGCCACAAATTACATCTTATCATGTGATAAGCCAAATATTCTAAACACACGTTGATTGTCTAAATGTGGAGGGAAAACCGGAGAAAAATCCACGCGACCACGGGGAGAGCACGCAAACTCCAAATATACAGCAGCAGCAGGCGCCAGGGTCGCGATCAAACCCACGACCTCCTGCACACCAGGCGAGGTAGTTTGCATCTCGTCACCGCACCGCGGCGCTCCAGTATCATCAGATCACCCGGCACACCACGTTCACTGTACTATATCTCTCGCTATGGCGGTGGCTACTTTAATCAAGTGCCTCCTGAAGCCTACCGGCCACCCGGATAATATTCGGTGAGAAATAAAGCCCTCGTCGAGAATTCATCGCCTCATAGAAATGCCGTCAGTCCACACCAATGCAAGAGACAAAAGCCGGAGAAACAGACAGATGCAGACGAAGACATCCGCAGAGAGGCAAAGACAAAGATGCTCCGTATAGCCTGTAGCAAACTGTTGGGGCAAGTGCTGTTAGTGAGCGCCTACTCTCGTGTGCATGTGTGTGTGTGTGCGCACGCGTAGAAAGGCACCGTTTGAACCCGGGGGCGAGTGCGCTACGTGCCGCAGATGTCGCACTGACCCCCACTCCTCTGTGTCCCCGCCTTACCCCACGGTGCCAACACTCCGCGAAAACAACTCCCGTGACGTCACTGCAGAAGCCAGCTGATGGTGATGCGAGGCAACAACACGCGGAGCTGAGTGCACCGCAAGCTGCTCATTGTCGTCGTCAACAACCACGTCCTGTCCACTGCTGGATGAACGCCTCTCCCCAAGCCGTCGCTACACCTTACGGTCATCATTGTCCGTGAACTATCCACTGCTCGATGAACGCATATCCCAAAGCCGTCGCTATCCCTTACGGTCATCATACCGGTTAGAATCAGGCGCGTTCTATCCACTGCTGGAGGAACGCAACTCCCCAAGCCGTCGCTATCCATTGGGGTCATCCTCATCATCCATGAACTATCCACTGCTCGATGAAGAGCTCTCCCAAAGCCGTCAATTGCAATCGCGGTCATCATCAATCAGGATGGCGTAATGGCCGTGAAACTCTCCACCTAAGTGTCACTGTTGTGAGCTCAGGCACCGTGCAGCGCAACAATTGAGAATATTTCCTCGTACGAGTAACTTGGCATCATCATCATCAGCGCGGTTGGCTACGTACGGCGCGAAAGAAGTTCAACACGCATACATCAGGCCCGATTCCCATCTGAACGTCAAACTTTATTTCGAAATAATTTGAGTACAACATTCAGAATTAAGATATATCAACAAATCCCGTGTCTCAGCGTCTACACGGAAACATTGGATAGCTACTACCTGTATGCCGAACGTATAGACTCTGCTGACATCAAACAACACGTAAAACCACGTTGAATTATCTGCATTGTATACCTTTAATTGCACCATATACGCTTTATCTTACAGATGAACTGTTCCAATGATCATCGCCACGATCTCAATAACTCGGCAGGCATGGAATTGTTTGTTGACGTTGCGTTTGCCAGTGGTGTATCATCACGTGAAATAAAACAACTGAAACACGTTCGTGAATAACACTCTGGCCTTAAAAAAAACATCAAAGGCGACGTTTCATGCAATGGCCCTTCTTCATAACACACTGTCCCTCTTCCATTTCTTCATATGCAACTAAACTGAAACATTTTTTATCAAATATTTCGCCAGGTAAGGCCCACTGAGCTACGTAGATCTTTTTCAGAAGCGACCTGGCCACAAATGAAAGCTCATCGCAGTGACGTATCATGTGGACGTTGATAGCCGCCTGATACTCTAAACGCACGTGGTTTTTAAATGTGGAGGGAAAAACCGGACGACCCGGAGAAAAATCCACGCGACCACGGGGGAGAGAGAGACGCGCAAACTCCTCGCTGTCAACCCCTTATCAGTGTCCTACCTTATTAAAGGCCAATTCAGACCTTATTGGTCACCCCGTGCCCTTATAAATCTCAACGTTCATCCTACAAAGTCCCATCACAACGAAGAAACACAAACAAATAGACAAACAACTTTTTGCCCGTATTGAAACGGCTGTGCGCCGTATGGACCTGACGATAAGAAGGGCCATTACCCGAAACGTCGCCTAGTATATCCAATGTTTTCATGATCGTTGCAGCTCGCGATGATGACCCACGCTGATTGGCCCCAGGCTCCGCTCGTGGGCGGCGCTTCGCGCATAAAAACTCGCGATGACCACGCCGCTGTTGACACGGACCGGCGGACGAGAGAGAGCGAATTCGCTTGGGCCGTGGCTTTGTAACTCGCTCTCGCCCGACACCCTGCCTGGCTCGGGCCCATCGTTCACTCCGTTTAACTTTTAAAATCCAACCCGGACTGGCCCCCTGGAGCCGAGCGAGCGAGCGAGTACATCGCGGCGTCCGTCTCTCGTCGTGAGCCGCTTAAAAGGGGGTCAACGTTGTCGGTTCGCGAAGATCGAACCCTCGACGTCGTCTTGTCGCTGTGTTCCGAGCTCTGGTGGGAGGCACAGTAGTGGGGGGACGGAGTTGGGGGGGGGGGGCTTTGTCGGTTACTTAACGGGGGAAGGGGGTCAGCTACTGATCCGACGCCACCATGAAGCTCGTTCGGTTCCTGATGAAGAACGCGGGGCTTGTCCACCTGCCCCGGCAACTGGAACATTACTCCAAGTTTTCTCCTTCGCCGCTCTCAATCAAGCAGTTCATCGACTTCGGTAAGGCAGACGTCACCGCGCCGAGGCGCTCGACTCGTTTGCGGCTGAGTCGACCTAGTGGGGGGGGGGGGGAGGCCCCACGTGTGGTTCAGATAATCGTCGCTGGTGTTGGCCGTGAGCGGGAATCGAACTCGCGTTGACCACCACGCTACCGTTCCCCGTACACCGTAGCTGCCCTCATCATAATAACTCTTGCCCCGTCTGTCCCATGCAGGATATAAAAGTGGGCTGGGGGTGGGGCAGGAGTCTCCGTGCAGCGAAAGTGGCAGTGCTGTGTGGAATGGCAGCCGATGGTGATTGCCGCTGGTGTTAATGGTTCTGGCTGCCGCTACTTGGGTAGCGTTGGTGTTTGATGACAGAGAGTGACGAACGTCGCGTGTTTATCCTGGTGGTGGTGGTTGGTGTTGGTGGGCACCGCGGTGGATAGGAGATGTTAACTACCTCGCCTGATATGCAGAGGGAGGTTGTGGGTTCGATCCCGACCCTGGTGCCTGCTGTATATTTGGAGTTTGCGTGTCTCTCTCTCTCCCCGTGGTCGCGTGGATTTTTCTCCGGGTCCTCCGGGGTTTTCTCTCCACATTTAGCAACGCGTTCGGAGAGCATGCGGCTGTTATACACCTCCACCTGATAAGCCACTTCGTCGAGTTGTCATCTGTGGCCAGGTCGTTTCTGAAACAGAGCTACTACGTAGCTCAAGTGGGCCTTACCTGGTAAAAATAACAAAAAATAGTTTAGTTTAAATAGTTTAGTTTGGTGGGGGAGCAGCACCGTGGTTAACAACTCGGATGGATGCTGATGGTATCGCCGGTGGCTGCTGATGGTATCGCCGGTGGCTGCTGAAATCCGTTTGGGATTTTGCTGTAGCTGCAGGCAATCGACGTTGTTGTTGCTGCTGCTGATACTGAAAGTGGTGTTGATCGTCAGACGCAACGTATCGACAAAAAACACCGTGACCCTGGGACGTATTTCACAAAGTAACATTTGTTCTGTACACAGTGCATTTGCCTTTTTTAAAGCCCGCGGCGTTATTGACGAATGTGTTGAGGTGTCTGTTGTTGTTACTCGTACGCAGCAGTGTCACCAGATCATTTGTCGAATCGGACATCATGGGTGGGGGGGGGGGGGCTTTCTACTCACGCGAACAGACTCGAGAACGTCGACTCCATCCATCCACTTCGTGAAAAGTTCGTGGCGACATTACGTGTCGAATCAAAGATTTCTGCTCCGAGACGCGGACCCAGCGTGCGCATGGCAGTGGGCTCAGTGTTGGCTGATGGCGATATTGTGATCTTACTGTTTGTTACTGCTGCTGACGGTGGCGGTGTTCTTGGTAAGACGTCATTGTGGATTTCGCATTCGTTGTGGTCGTCGTGGTGGTGGCGGCGGTGGTAATATACTTTTTGGTCTTTAGTGTGTCGTCCTTTCCCCCGCACCTCCGGTTAGCACGGTTGGCTGAGTACGGTGCAAAAGAAGTTCAACGTACAGCACGCACATAGGTGTGTTGCTGTACAAGTAAGAACCCGCTGAGACATTCAGTCGTTTTGCAAGTGCGAGATGGATGAATCAGGTCACGGGCAGTGCAGAATTAGCTGGTGAGACGACTCGACGGATAGACATTCAAATAAAGCATTGCTGGATGACGACCGCTTCACGCCACGTGGATCATAGGGTTTGTTCGGCCATACTTCACCACGCCGGCCAGTGAAAGTTGCTGGAGGAGTGCAGCGGGAATGGCCCAGGACCAGTTTATAAATCACACGCCACTAAATGTTTGCCGTGGCCGGTAATCGAACTTGGAGTCGCAGGTGCGCTCACCACCGTGCCTGCCACCACTGCATCAGCTGAGAACTTATCAAAACGAAATGGCGAGCACATTTCAAACAATGCTGGCGGAACACAGAGAAGTGAAAGTGGTCATAATCTGCAGGAGGAATCCGATGAGCTATGAAGCTCTTTTCCACAGATGTCCGATATCGGCGGGTCAGCAGGTTTCAACAGCAAACAGTTCAAAGCACGATAGCGCAGAATAGAGAAAATGGCTAGCAAGTCACAAAAAAATAATAATTATATAAGTCCCATTCATCAAGATTGGGCAAGGCAGCAAAAACAACCACCAAACAGCCCCAGACCACACCGAGATAACGCGCGGTAGTCCCTCAATAACATGGCACATTAAAACTATCCATACACAGGTGATGATCAAAGTTGCACATCGCATTTTCAACGCAGGCGATGCAGATGACGCCAATTAAAACGCACTCGGTGCAACGACAGCCGCCAAAGTGCCATGCACATGGAACCAGTCACGAGCAAAGGTGTGAAACGCATGGCGCAGGGCCTTGGTGTGAGGGTTGGGAATGTCGCAAGGTGATGATGCCATCACGGACAGCTGTTGTCGACAAGAGCGACATCGTGATGGAATAATTTGCCACTTCCCCCTTACCTCCGCGTTACCAATCCCCTTTATTTAATTTGTCACAATTGTAGTTAATAATGTGTGAAGCAAAAATTATGTAAGCGTTTTTAAATATATCTTGCCTCTAGTGACTGGAGGTGCGGGGTCACTGTAATTGTCAGCTTGCGATTAGATGCGCATACCATGAGCGTAAGAGTCGATGTTAATACGCGAGTGGACGTGCCGTTACACCCCCTGCATCGGTGTGGTACGTGTGCGATGCGAATGTGTAGTCGTTTTAGACGTTCGTTATTCACACGGGAGCGCCACGGTGGCGAGATGCTAACTCCCTCGCCTGGTATGCAAGGGTTTGTAGGTTCGATCCTGACCCTGACGCCTGTTGTGTATTTGGAGTTTGCATGTTCTCTCCCCGTGGTCGAGTGGATTTTTCTCCGCTTCCTCTGCTTTTTCCCTCCACATTTACAATCAACGTGCGTTTATAGTATTTGAGTGCTATACATTTCCACGTGATGAGCCACTTCTTTGAGCTATTAAACGTGGCCAGGTCGCTTCTGAAAATTAGCTATATAGCTCAGTGGGTCTTACCTGGTCAAGTCAAAATTGTTTATAGTTCAGTTTTAGCATGCATGGGGCATGTGTAAGTGCGGTGGTTTAACACTTTCACAAACAAGTGAGAACACAGAGGAACCAATCAAGCCGTGTTGACTAAACGGATTACACATATTTCACGGTCAATACAGCACATTAAATATGCATTGTTTCAAGTGGCAAGACGGTACTGAAACGTAAAAATCTTTGCCCCGGTTTGCACTTTCCCGACGGTCAGAGTGCAGAAATGTTGTAATGGTATTCTGTGTAACCGTTTACATCGGCCTGTGTAGTGGATTAGTGTGAGTTTGTGCATTGTGTGTGCAAGTACCATGGCTGCCTTGCTATGTTGCGGTTGGGTGCGAATCCTATTACTTCATTAGCATCTACAATAAATATGCAGTTGTTGTTTAGGATTTTTGTTTCATTTTGCCACTATAGCACATTGGCCAAACACGGGCATGAATGTTTTCGTGACATTTCAAGTGCATGGCGTAAGTGCCCTTGACCAGTCATCTTTGTGGATGGAGTAATAAAATGCCCTTTTGTGTTATCGTAAGCTTGTCGCGGATGGTCTGTTTACACGTAACACTCATACAGGATTATTTTTTTATGAATAGCCATGTTATCACGCGCTCATTGGCAGTTTGCTTGTATTTAATTAGAAAGTAATTCATCACTAATAAATTCAAGATGGCTCGCTCGCGTTCAATTATATAATCACTTTGCAAATAACAGCGCGACCCGGTTTGGTGTTTTTTTGTCTCCCGCGTTCCCAGGATCGCGGAATGCGTGCGAGCGAACCTCGTACGTGTTCCTGCGGCAGGAGCTGCCCGTCCGGCTCGCCAACATCATGAAGGAGATCAACCTCCTTCCTGACAACCTCCTGAGCACACCCTCTGTGCAACTCGTGCAGAGCTGGTGAGCGCTCGCTCGTGCGCGCGTGTGTGTCTTTTTGCGGGGAGCGACGGTGCAGCGGTTAGCGCTACGCCGCGCTACGAACCTGGCGACTCAGGTTCGATTCCCCCCGCTCGCGGTCAACAACGGTGACGATTATCTGAACTGATACTGGGCCTCCCCTAGGTCGACTCAGCCTCAAATGAGTACCTGATGCGGTGTGTTAACATGGCAAGCGCTTAATTTCTGCTGGGTCTGTCTGCTGCTGTGTCGGCAAACACCCCACATTGTGGTGTTACTCTCGCTATGGCTGTGGCTCCTGGTTACTTGCCACCTACTCCAGTCTACCGGCCACGTGGAAAATAATCGGTGAGACAAGAATCTTTATTTAGACCAGAGGAATCCAATGAACTATGAAGCTCTTTTGCACAGATGTCCAGTAGGGGCAGGTCAGTAAGTTACAAGACATTCGGTCCTGCCTACAACCGCAATAATTCACATGCCAAGTCAAAGTGATTTTCTGCTCATATCCTGTTTACCAGCCCGAGCCAGTGGTGTAAATTCTGCATTCCTATGACGGGAGCGAGTCTATCCATTGGACAATCACTGATGAATAAAAATAATGGGTTTTATTCTTTCTGGCAATAAAACAGGTATTAAGATGTTCAAACACCAAAATATATACCTTTTTGCAAGGCATCAAGTCTGATATTAACCGCACAAACTTCAGGTAAAACATGCTTTGATAATGTATGCATTGTCATTGGCCTACACCAGAGACAGCCTTCCTTTATGGACTTGTCAAATCGGTGTTAAACCAGAGAACGCCAAAAGGTGAATAGCACAAAGACAATGCAAGTATCAGCACATTTATAGCTTGGGTCGAGCAGTTATATCTACGGGACCTTTTTGCCAGTATCAAAAATGTGTCAAGGACAATGCATATATTATCAGAGCAGTGTTTTTTGGCACGTTTTGCCGTAAGTTTGTGTGGTTAATGCAGACTTAATGCCTTGCAAAAGGTATCTATTTTGGTGTTTGAAAATCGTAACATCTGTTTCATTGCCAGAAAGGGTGAAACCTATTATTATTTTTCATAATTTTCGATACTGCCAAAAAGGACCGATGGACAATCACCATTAACTTTCCCCAAAAGTGGTATCTATTTTATTGACCCTGAAGGGATGATGGACTGAGTCAACCTACCAAACATGATTTGAACTTGCAACCTTCCAATTGTGAGCCACTCACTGCACCACTGAGCCACTTGGCCTAGCAGTGCCACGGTGGCGAGATGTTAACTGCCACTCCTGGTATACAGGAGTTCGTGGATTTTTATCCCGACCCTGATGCCTGTATATTTAGAGTTTGCAAGTTCTCTCCCCTCGGGGTCACGTGGATTTTTCTCTGGGTCCTCCGGGTTTTTCCCCCCACATTTAGAATCAATGTGCTTTTAGAATATTCGGCTGCTATAAATGTCCACATAATCCAGTCCGTTGAGCTCTCAATTGTGGCCAGATCGCTTCTGAAAGAGCTATAAAAATATCAGTTGGTAAAATATATATTTTTTAGTTTACCTGGCCAGATTATCACTGAGGCCCTTGGCCAGATTGCCACTGAGCTATGAGTGTGGGGACATAAGGGGTTGGGGTGGTTAGCCATGTGCTATGTGCTGCCTACATAAATGTACATGTACAGCCCTTTAATCAATCCACTGCTGGATGAGGGCCTCCCCATGCCTGGTGGGGTGTCGGGGGTTACTCCACTATACTTCAACACTATGGGCAGGTTCCCAACTGGCTGTCTACTGCTGCAAAGTAAGGACATATTTCAATTCTTGGAGAGCAGTAGGATTGTCATCCACCATCATCTGCACACAGGTGTTGCATGGCACATGAGGATGGGGGAGCGAGGTGGGGGGGGTCTAGCATCCCACATTGCCACCTTTGTTTCCCCAATGCTAATGTTTACACACCACACGCAGGTAAATCATTGAAGCTTCAGTCGACTCAAGAGAGAGAGCCTTTTGGCCCGGTTCAGATACTTGCTGCTGATGTTGTTGTCCTTAGCCAAGAATTGAAACTCAGGCCATGAGGTATTTGTGGTGCAGTGCGTTAACCACTGTCCATCACCGCAAAGACGAAGATCCCCACTTATAGCTTTACTAGACTGTTGGGGGCACAGCACCCGAGTGGGTGGGTGGGCCAGCACCACGCCCGGCTGCCTGTCTCCCCAGTTGCTATGTTTACGTATCACACCACACACGGAAATACAGACACGCATCAGCCAATCTGACAGCTGGCATGTGAAGGGTGTTACGACAATTGGAGATGTATTTTCCAAGCATCGTTGAAAGGCGAGGCTATTTTTAACAGTGCGGTCAGTTCAGGGCCGATACATCATGAGCGCGAGTTGAGAAATTACCTCCTGCCCAACATCCATTTGTGGTTGTGCTGCTGCTCTTGTGTGATCTACCTGTGAAATGGGCATGCAATATTTCACCCATATGAATTGTCATGTTTTACGGCTTGCGATTCAGCAAACAATAAATCCTAGCTAGCCGTGGAACAAAGGCACTCATTGCAATCGAGCGCTTTCAGATGCGCTTCTGTGGCCACCTGGAATGCTCTTCCTTCTGATATTAGGAAGCCACTGGAGCTACACACTTTAATATCTAGATCGAAAACTCATTCCTAACGAACTTATTTTAATGTTTAGTTTGTTGCCCTTCCGCGCACTTTCGATTAGCATGTTTGGCTACGTACGGTGCGAAAGCAGTTCAACATATGTACACTCTCTGTTGTCTCGTTTTATCCATCTCGTTTGTAGAGTCTTGTTCACGTCATTTGAGATGCACGCAACACATTGCTCCTGTAAGAATTGCTGTTTTTCTATTCGTATGTCCGATGTGATGGGTTCACTTGTCTCTCTGGCCATTGGAGGCCGCTGCATACAACACAATGTTCAAATTGAAGCGTGACCATTCATTGAATCGCGAATGGGGGCGAATTGTTAGGCCCATAATCTTTTTAAACTCAACGAGCTTGCAGAGATGACCTCACTTGACATGCACTTTATGCCCGGACATGTCCAAGTATCCTCCCACGTTTTCTCACGAATTTTTTTTCTAAATCCCACCGCCAGATAAATGAGATGATCTAATGAAATAAACCTCTCCCTTTGAAGGACTAGTTTTCAAGTATAGAGTTCAGCTGATGTGGAAATAGTGAAGCACAGCTTCAATCCCTCCGTGCTGATAAGGTTTGGGTGCCTTTGACCAGTTTCTTTATCTGCAGTTTCATCCCCTTATTCGAATAAACGTGGATTAATTCTAGATTTGAAGTTTTCGTGACTGCAAGGATCCATACTCTTTGGTTCTTTCGATAAAGTCACGTAGATGAAAAATAAAAAGAATAATGAAAATAAAATGAAAATAAAAAACGTGGATTACCTTTAATTATTTTCAGTGTACAGCTCTTTGTCGATCCAATGCTGGATAGAGAAGGGCCACCCCATTCTATGTCGACCATGGGAATTGTGTGACCATACTTCACCGCGCTGGTCTGTCCAGATTGGCGAGATCAGGCCCAGGACCGGTTCAGATACCATTCACCACTGATGTTTTTATTTAATCACAGCTATGTTACTCCTATACTCATTGGTTTTTTTTGTTCCGGTAAAGTCACGTATGTGGATATAAAATAAATTTTAAATAAACAAAATAAAATTAGATGAAAATAAATCACGACGTTTCGAATGCAACACAAGCGCTCATCATCAGGTGGAAATGGGGTAAAACACATAGCAAGGGAACACACAGAAGGACACCACGCACATAGCACACAGAGAACTAGAAACTGCACGGAGGCAAATACATCAAGAAGATGGGAGACGCGAACTCGGCAAACCTTAGAAACATTATGTGACACAAACCAGTCGGCCAACAACACAGTTAAGACACTAACCTGGTTGACCACGTATTTCAAAAGACTGCTAAATCTTGTGTTCTCATCCTCTGGGCTGAACATACCAACGTAAGCAGAGGACGTGGACTCGTGAACAGACACGAGGTACAAGAGATACATACACAGAGAAGACACAACAGGGAGGGATGTTTTGGGCAGCACAGAATGACAATCGGAGCAACGCCACACCAAGAGACATCCACACATGCAGAGGCACATGCAGAAAGATGCCTAGAGGAATAAGGTACAGGGACTTATATAGGATGTAAAGGTGGGGGAGGGGAAAGGGGCAGAGAGGGAAACAAAAACGCGGGAAACAGAGACAGACCACGGCAAACAAAAAACGAAGCAAAATTCCAACAAGTAGAGATACATGCTCCTCTTATGAAGAACGGCCATTACCCGAAACGTCGCCCATTGTCTACTTTTTACTCCTTTTAAAGGCCGTGCTATGGACGGGCTGTGTGGCGCTGTTTTAACGGTGCTATTTTTGTTTTTGAAGGCTGTCGGTAAGGTCAGCCACCTCGGGGTCAGGAAACGCGAAGCGTTTTTTTTTTATAACTGAAAAATGCAACTCGGGCACTTTTTTGTTTGCGCGCGAAGATAACCTCAATCGATTCCACCACCACGCACGCACGCTCATTTAAACCCTCAGCTTACAAAACAACAACTACTACTACTACAGCTGCATCCCCTCTGTATTGTAATTTCAGCATCTTAACCTGATGCTTTATATGAGCAGTGTACGGGACTCTGTGTTTTAGTGGCAATGTCGAGAGGGCCCACGCCAGCTGCTGGCTAAATGCACTCCTTTGGTGACCATGACCTTTGTCCCAGTTAGCCGAGACGAGTGGGGGATGGGTGGGGGAAGCTGGGCACGTGACCCCCCTCAACCCACACACCGCCCGCCCCCCCTTTTTTGCAGGGCTGTGCATTTTTGTGAGGATGTTGCCAGACCCGAGGTTTAAACCTCTGGGTTAGATCCCGAGGTTTAAATCTCATGGATCAGAGTTTCGGATCGTATGCGAGGTTTAAACCGTTGGGTCAGATGCGAGGTTT